TTTCTTTTTTAAAGAAGTAATAATTTATAATTTTTCGAAATTCTTTCATAGAAGGTAATTTAATTATTAAGGAATTATCTAAACTATTTTTAAATGTCATTTTATTCCAATCTCTTTTTTAAAGCAGTAATAATCTATAATTTTTTCGAAATTCTTTTATAGAAGGTAATTTTATTGTTAATAAATTCCAAACTTTGATTTTCCTAACTTTTTAAACCATTAGAAGTTATTTAAATTTAATAGACATTTCTTTAGTTTTTCCAGTATTTTCATTCATTTAAGAATTTTGAGTAATTATATTACAATTTAGTTGTTTTCTTTTTCAAAAATAATTTTAAGTGCCATTTTATTCCAATCTCTTTTTTAAAGAAGTAATAATTTATAATTTTTTGAAATTCTTTCATAGAAGGTAATTTTATTATTAATGAATTCTCTAAACTAATTTTAAATGTCATTTTATTTCAATCTCTTTTTTGAAGAAGTAATTTTTTTATAATTTTTCAAAATTATTTTACAGAAGATAATTTTGTTATTAACAAATTCCAAACTTTGATTCGTTAATATTGATGCCATTTACATTTAACTGAAAATTATTTAATTTTCCAGTATTTTCATACATTTAAGAATTTTGAATAATTATATTACAATTTTACAATAATTCTTCTCAATGTAATATATTATAAAAAATTTTTACTAGATTTAAAATTAAACAGTAACTCGGAATTTTTTTTAAATTGTAGTAGCTTTACATAAAATAGATAAACATGCATTCAATTAAAATTAATTCAAACACTTATTGAAAAAGTTTTCATAAACTATTTTAAAAAGTTTCGCTTTAAAAACTAATGAAATTAATTTTATTTTTCAAATTTTGTCTTTACCTCTAATATATATATATATATATTAGAGGAAAACACATACAATATGTTATATACAATGCTGCTTGTCACTATTCAAAACAAAGTTACATCTAGTAAGTTTAGTTTTTAAAATATATTAACTTTTACATTTTATTTCACAATAAATTGCCATATATAAAATTCTAATTTGTTTCAATTTATGAAAAATAAATGTTAAATAATATTAATCAAAATTGTTATATTTTAAATATTAAAATTCAACATCAATTTTCCTAAAGCTACCACCAATCTAAAATAATTATGAGATTTTTTCATTGAGTTAAATTATTTTTAGGTTCAAATTTAAACCTAATTGACGATGACGATTAAAAGGCTATAAATTAAGAAAAAATACGAATAAATATTTTAAATTTTGTTGAAATTTGTTTACAGAAAATAATTATACATTCAATTTTATTTAAAATCATGTAAAAAAATGTTTATTAATTAAAAGTGCATTTAATTTTTGCATTTTTGCAGTGTCATTTAATTAAAAGTGCACGTTATGTCTAAAAAAATTAAATTATTAATATTTTTAATTTTATTTTAACAAATGACGCATTAATTTCAACAAATTAATTTAATAGTAATAACACTATTAATAAATCAATTAGACTGAAGTTATAATGGATTCAATACAAAGTTAAGTCAAAGAAAGCCAGATAAAAAACAATTAATGAGATAAAGAATCTAAAGAAGAAGGAATAATCTAATATATCTCTTCTATGTAAAGAATATCTGGATATAATATATCTAAATAGATATTATTTTTCTATTCATTTTAGATTTAAACTTTATTACAGTAACCCGGATTTTTTAAAGTTTATAATAGCTTTCTTTAAAATAGATAAATCTACATTCAATAAAAATTAATTCGAACACTTTTTGAAAAAGTTTTCATAAATTATTATTTAAAAAATGTTTCGTTTTTAAAACAGTTGAAATTATTTTTATTTTTCAAATTATATTTTTATCTCTGGTATTATAGATATATATCACAAATCAAAACTATATTTGTTATACATATTGTTGACAAGAAAGAATGAATAATCTAATTTATCTCCTCTATCTAAAGAAGATCTAGATATAATATATCTAGATAGATATAATCTTTCTATGCCTTCTAGACTTAAAATTTGTAATAGTAATCCGAATTTTCTAAAGTTTATAATAAATTTATATAAAATAGATAAATCTAAATTCAATTAAAATTAAATTAATTCGAACACTTATTTCAAAAGTTTTCATAAATTATTAAAAAAAAGTTTCATTTTTCAAAACAGTTGAAATTATTTTTAGTTTTCAAATTATATTTTTATCTCTGATATTATTTCAAACAAAACTATATTTGTTATACATATTGTTTAGAAGGAAGAAGGAATAATCTAATATATATCTTCTATTTAAAGATGATATAATATATCTAGATAGATATAATCTTTCTATCGCTTCTAGATTTGAAATTTATGAAAATAATCCAGATTTTTTAAAATTTGTAATAGCTTCATATAAAATAGATAAATCTAAATTCAATTAAAGTTAATTCGAGCACTTACTGAAAAGGCTTTCATAAGTTGTTTAAAAAAAGTTTCGTTTTTAGCACAGTTGAAATTATTTATATATTTCAAATTATACTTTTCCCTCTGATATTATATATATATATATATATATTTCCCAAATCAAAACTATATTTGTTATACAAATTGCTTATACAAATATGTATATACAATGTTGTTTATCATAATTCAAAACAAAAGTTTAATTTTTAAAATATATTAATTTATAAACATATTAGAAAGAAAAGTTTTAAAAATGCCAAGTCAAATGATTTTAAAAACAAATCAATAACTGAGATTAACACTTTTTATTATTCATAACTGATAAAAAAAATATTTATCAATGCCAAAACAAGAAAAAGAAAAACGTTAAAAAAAAATAACGTCGACCTTAGTTGTTTCATAGACATTTCCTGTATTTATCATTGTAACGAATTTCCCAAATTATTATGAAAACATGTCCGAAAGGAAATAAACATATCTTAAAACATTAAAAAAAAATACATGCGCAATGTAAACAAAGACTTAATATAGATCATTTAGCTACTCATTTACCTTGAAAGTCAATGTTCATTAAAAGAGTTGAGAAATGACGAAAAAAAAAATCACCTCGAAAAAAAACCGCTAGTAAATAAGGAAGAGAAAAAAAAAAAAAAAGGGAACATTTTTTTTTTTTACGTGGAACTATTTCGAAACCAACACGGATATTTGAACTTTAGCTTAACTGGAATTATCCCATTGATTCAAGTATGAAGACACGTGAGCTCGATTTATAAGCAGCAATTAGGCGTTTTATTGCAGCTGTTAACGAAATAAAAACATGCTTTTTCAATTATAGTTTGATTTATTCTTTAAAGGTAAACATCCGCTTTCAAACAGGAAGCGGACGAGTCGATTACTTATTAGGGGCGTTAGTTAGGAATATGAGAGATAAATCCTTTTTAAAAGAAAAAGGTTTTAATAATTAGTGTGCTTTTTTTATTGTCGTATTTCTCTTTTTCTATCATGTAATTTATAATTTAAATTAATACAAATTAAAATAATTTTTACTATAATTAAAACTCTTTCAAAACCATTTTGACGCTCTATTTGAATCCTTCCAAATTGGCCGTTTGCCAATTTTCCACACAAATAGTGGTCGAATTTCTACTTTATACCAGAGGTGGCCAACCCAAACGATCTCGCGAGTAACTTTGGAAATGCATCCTAACACCGCGGGCGGGATATAAAATTATATATCTCCATATTAGATTTTCCGCATTTTTTGGAGTGAAAAATTGAAACAGAATGAGTTATTATTATTGTGTTTACTGTTATTCTTACATGCAAACATAGATAATATAATAATAATGATACTAAGCGCACATTGGGAAGAAATATATGACACTAAAAAAGAAAATATATAGATATAAAAATATATATAAATATAAGAGATCTCAATTTGGGTATTTGCACATCATAATGGGTGCTGCATCCGTTACATTTGAGCGTGTTTTGTGTTTGGTCAATTTCATGTTGGAAAAGGAATAAAAAAACAAACAAACGATTCTCAGGTCTAAGTTGAACCAATAGCGCTAACAACTTCAACTAAGTGTCTGGTTTGCTCTGCTATCGACAATGAACTCTAAAGTTATAAATAAAACAGGCAACATCTGTCCTATATTCGCAAGAATATTATTTTAAAATCAAAGTCCCTTTTTTCTCAAAATTGCGGCAGTTAATTTTCGAATATAGGGATGCACACATAATGTATTTTTTGAATACATTGTTTTTCACTACTTTGGCCATTCTAAAATAAATATATTTTGTAAAAGTGTTATAAATCTCACAGGTTGGAAAAATATTCAAGGTGAGCCGCGGGTTTGCCACTCCTTCTTTATACAAACAAACTTTTAGTTAACAATGTGTACCATTATCTGAGGAATACACATCTCTAAAAAACAACTTATTAATATATGTTTAATATATTTACTTTTTAATTTAAACCAAGGATAGAATTGAAAATTAAGAGTTTAAAACCTTTATCAATTAAATAACTAGCCTAGATGTAGTGTCTTTATAAATGTTATATATTTATATCTAACCCTAACACTGGTGACTTTACAAAAAGATTAGCTGTTGGCAAATATTTGTTTCGAGATATAAGAAGGCAAAAACATGTTCCACTTCAAAATTCCGCTTAATAAACAAAGAAGCTGTGGTTATTTCTAGGTAAGGCACAGAAATGAGCAAAACTATTTGTTATTGTTTCTTATCCCACTTGGCCAAGCCCACGACGTACCCATACCGTACCGTACCCCCATACGTACTCATGATTGAGGGGAAAGGAAGCAGCTTCTGTTGTGATGGAGCACCCGTAGGTAGAAGTCTGACTTTGGCGCCGTGACGCTCTTACAGTCATAGGAGACCGGGACCTACTGCTTAAAGTGGATTCCGAACCACTACAAACATCCATGGCACCGCCGGGATTCGACCCCGAAACCTGTGGCACCGAGCGCCAGAGCGCTAGACACCCGGCCATTCAGGTCCCAAATTTGTGAATGCCAACGGCACGCGGTGTTCCCAAATTTTGACAACCAAGTACTGACCGCGCCCAATAATGCTTGACTTCGGTGATCTAACGAGAACCGTTATATTCAGCATGGTATGGCCGTTGGCAAACTATTTGTAACAACACATATTCATATTAGAGACGGTAGAAAACTGCTAATTTCGATTAACGGTTTAAAATTTTGCGCTAATATAAATTGAGGGTTATTTAAACGGTTAATTAAATTAACGAGTAACTGTGATATAAATAAAACGGATTAATTCTATACAAGTCATGTTAATGCATTTGTTGCCTCATGGATAAATAGCTCCACATGCATAGTGGAAGCCAGCGCCCGATAATGTAAACATCCTGTCTGCGTTGGTGTGAGCTGACTGGAGGGAGAAAGAAATGTAACAGCAGCAGTGTGCGTTTGGTTTTGAAATAAATGAGTCGTGTTGTCTTTTATAGTCAATTAGAGCTATATGTTTTTATTCCTAGACCATACAACAATTGACAGCAAATTTTGACTTGGAACAGAAAATATGTTTATAGGGAGTTCAACCTGAAGAAATTTCTTTAATTTTTAAGTTATATTTTCTAAATAAATCTATAGAACATAATTTTTCACATGCAAGAAATTATGTTTTCTAAATCAGTATATGTGCGTAAAATAATTAATTAATGTACTAAATACATATGTCAGACACAGCTTATCAATGTTCGGCATGAAAAAAAAAAAGAAGAAAATTCCAGAATTCCTTAAACTTTGCTTTTATTTCTTACCACAATAAAAGAGGTACTATGAATTATTTGCAATTAGAATTATCGCCGTGGTATGAAGCATTGTTAAAGTTAACTGCGATTATCAACGTCTTCCTTTACGATGAGATCATTGAAACGGCGTTGAAATTAACGCGACTTCTAACATCAAACACTAAGCGCCTACCATTGTCATAATGAATCGTTAATTCATCTTTTCATCAACTGGAGTCGACCACTGTTTCTCGTCAACGTAGTTAGATGAATAGCTGCCTTAGCACAAGCCTAAGTTATATATTTGTGAACAAACATTTTTTTTTTCTGAATATTTTAAATAATCAACCATAAAAACTTATTTGAATAACCACTTTTACATTTGTTTCCTGAAAAATTTTAACCAAATTCTAAAACATATTAAATTTATATATTATTATTAAATTCCTTCTATTAGCTCACACTCTCCCTATATATATCTTGTTCACATTTTCAATCGTTCATAACATACTTTGTATTCATCCACTCAAGTTCGAATTCATTTTTTTTTTTTGTACTTGTAGTGGATGACACTGGATGTTAATACAGTTTTTTCAAATATTAATTCAGTAATTAAATTTAATTAATTAATTTTAGTTTTATATGGCAGATATATTCATATATTCACGCTGCTCTTTCTTCTCATTTGCTCAATTAATTAATTAATAATTAGTTAATAATTCTTTTTTCTCATAACTAATTATTAATTACTTTATTCATTCAATTATTAATTATTTTTATTTTATTATCAAATATTTTTATTATTCATTTAATATATAGTATTCAATTTTTAAAATAATGTAACTATAAATTGGAGATAATATAAAAAAGCGTCTGACTTTAATTTATTCATTTAATTATTAATTATTTTTATTTTATTATCAAATATTTTTATTATTCATTTAATATATATTGTTAATTTTTAAAATAATGTAACTACAAATTGGCAATAATATAAAAAATCGTCTGATTTTAATTTAGCTTATTTTTCTGGATATTATTATTCTTAATTTTTTACGTTTGAAATTTGAAACGATCGTGTTTGAGTATTCTTGTTAATGTAGTCTATATTTTTTAATTTTAAATTATCAAAACGCTTTTAGTTAAATTTGAAATATAGCCTAATATATTTGCTTTTATTATTTTTATCGTATGTATTTGCTTTTATTATTTTGTTGTAATTCGAGATTGCTGTTCTTTTTTTTTAAATTCCTTTTATTAGCTCACACTCTCCCTATATATATATATCTTGTTCAAATTTTCAATCGTTCATAAAACACTTTTTATTCATCCACTCCAGTTCAAATACATTTTTTTTTGAACTTGTAGTGGATGACACTGAATGTTAATACATTTTTTTCAAATATTAATTCAGTAATTAAATTTAGTTAATTAATTTTAGTTTTTTTTTTAGATTTAATTTGCATGTATCTACCAATAGATGGTGCCAGATAAACTTTAAAAAATGAATGAAAATTTAAAAAATAATAAACTTTAAAAAATGACTTTTTGCAATATAGTGAGAGAAAAAAGAAGGAATTGACTTCAAAATTTTTTTTTATATTACTTGTTATGTATCAAGTTATTATTTATTAAGTTATTATTATTATTATTATTATTATTATTATTACAGCTTCAAAAAGCTGGTTATTCCTGTTTGAAATGATAAAATATAGTATATTTTTGAAATAATTATAAAATAAACTTGTAGCTTATAAATTACTCATTTTATTTTAATATTCATATATTTTATAAGAATAATTATTTAAGTACTGAAATGCACGATAAATATTTCAACACAGTAATTTCAAAAACGAAAAATAATTATTTTAATATTGAAATATATGATAAATATTTCAGCACAGTAATTTCAATGATAAGAAATAATTATTTAAGTATTGAAATGCACGATAAATATTTCAACACAGTAATTTCAAAAACGAAAATAATTATTTTAATATTGAAATATATGATAAATATTTCAGCACAGTAATTTCAATGATAAGAAATAATTATTTAAGTATTGAAATGCACGATAAATATTTCAACACAGTAATTTCAAAAACGAAAAATAATTATTTTAATATTGAAATATATGATAAATATTTCAGCACAGTAATTTCAATGATAAGAAATAATTATTTAAGTATTGAAATGCACGATAAATATTTCAACACAGTAATTTCAAAAACGAAAAATAATTATTTTAATATTGAAATATATGATAAATATTTCAGCACAGTAATTTCAATGATAAAAAAATAATTATTTAAGTATTGAAATGTATTGTAAATATTTCAGCGCAGTAATTTCAATAATACAAAATAATTTTTTAAGTATTGAAATGTATGATAAATATTTCAGAGCAGTAATTTCAATGATAAGAAATAATTATTTAAGTATTGAAATGTATGATAAATATTTCAGAGCAGTAATTTCAATGATAAGAAATAATTATTTAAGTATTGAAATGTATGATAAATATTTCAGAGCAGTAATTTCAATGATAAGAAATAATTATTTAAGTATTGAAATGTATGATAAATATTTCAGAGCAGTAATTTCAATGATAAGAAATAATTATTTAAGTATTGAAATGTATGATAAATATTTCAGAGCAGTAATTTCAATGATAAGAAATAATTATTTAAGTATTGAAATGTATGATAAATATTTCAGAGCAGTAATTTCAATGATAAGAAATAATTATTTAAGTATTGAAATGTATGATAAATATTTCAGAGCAGTAATTTCAATGATAAGAAATAATTATTTAAGTATTGAAATGTATGATAAATATTTCAGAGCAGTAATTTCAATGATAAGAAATAATTATTTAAGTATTGAAATGTATGATAAATATTTCAGAGCAGTAATTTCAATGATAAGAAATAATTATTTAAGTATTGAAATGTATGATAAATATTTCAGAGCAGTAATTTCAATGATAAGAAATAATTATTTAAGTATTGAAATGTATTGTAAATATTTCAGCGCAGTAATTTCAATAATACAAAATAATTTTTTAAGTATTGAAATGTATGATAAATATTTCAGAGCAGTAATTTCAATGATAAGAAATAATTATTTAAGTATTGAAATGTATGATAAATATTTCAGAGCAGTAATTTCAATGATAAGAAATAATTATTTAAGTATTGAAATGTATGATAAATATTTCAGAGCAGTAATTTCAATGATAAGAAATAATTATTTAAGTATTGAAATGTATGATAAATATTTCAGAGCAGTAATTTCAATGATAAGAAATAATTATTTAAGTATTGAAATGTATGATAAATATTTCAGAGCAGTAATTTCAATGATAAGAAATAATTATTTAAGTATTGAAATGTATTGTAAATATTTCAGCGCAGTAATTTCAATAATACAAAATAATTTTTTAAGTATTGAAATGTATGATAAATATTTCAGAGCAGTAATTTCAATGATAAGAAATAATTATTTAAGTATTGAAATGTATGATAAATATTTCAGAGCAGTAATTTCAATGATAAGAAATAATTATTTAAGTATTGAAATGTATGATAAATATTTCAGAGCAGTAATTTCAATGATAAGAAATAATTATTTAAGTATTGAAATGTATGATAAATATTTCAGAGCAGTAATTTCAATGATAAGAAATAATTATTTATGTATTGATATGTATGATAAATATTTCAGAGCAGTAATTTCAATGATAAGAAATAATTATTTAAGTATTGAAATGTATGATAAATATTTCAGAGCAGTAATTTCAATGATAAGAAATAATTATTTAAGTATTGAAATGTATTGTAAATATTTCAGCGCAGTAATTTCAATAATACAAAATAATTTTTTAAGTATTGAAATGTATGATAAATATTTCAGAGCAGTAATTTCAATGATAAGAAATAATTATTTAAGTATTGAAATGTATGATAAATATTTCAGAGCAGTAATTTCAATGATAAGAAATAATTATTTAAGTATTGAAATGTATGATAAATATTTCAGAGCAGTAATTTCAATGATAAGAAATAATTATTTAAGTATTGAAATGTATGATAAATATTTCAGAGCAGTAATTTCAATGATAAGAAATAATTATTTAAGTATTGAAATGTATTGTAAATATTTCAGCGCAGTAATTTCAATAATACAAAATAATTTTTTAAGTATTGAAATGTATGATAAATATTTCAGAGCAGTAATTTCAATGATAAGAAATAATTATTTAAGTATTGAAATGTATGATAAATATTTCAGAGCAGTAATTTCAATGATAAGAAATAATTATTTAAGTATTGAAATGTATGATAAATATTTCAGAGCAGTAATTTCA